GTCCCCTTCTACCGTCTCTTCCCTACCGCACTCCTTCCCTCCCCCCTCCCGTGGACTTCCTGTGCCGGTTCCCCCCCCGGTAGACCCCTCCCCCTCAGGTTCTTGCCCCCAGTGTTGTCCCAGGTAGACGCCGTTGACCCGGTCGAGGTTACTGGTGTGACTCTGGTGCTGCTGGGGTGCTGAGCCTGGGTGCTGACTCTGGGGGTGCTGTGCGCGGGGGCGGGGGTGCTGAGCCTGGGGGTACTACTGCTGGGGGTGCTGGGCCTGAGGGTGCTACTGCTGGAGGGTGCGGAGCCTGGGGGTGCTGAGCCGGGGGGTGCTGTGCCTGGAGGTGATGGGTCTGGGGTGCTGGGTCGAGCGCTGCTGAGCCTCGGGGGGGCTGAGCTGGGAGCTGCTGAGTCTGGAGGTGCTGCTGGAGCTGGAGCTGGAACTTCTTCGACCGTCGAGGGTGCGGGTGCTGCCGGTCCCGGAGCTGCTGGACCTGCGGGTCCGCCTGGAGCTGGAGCTGCTGAGGGCGTTCGTGCTGAGGCCTGCTGCTGTTGGTCCTGCCGCTGGAGGTGTGGGTGGCGCTGGTGCTGTCGCTGAGGGTGCTGGTGCTGTCCCTGCTGAGTCTCGAGCTGCCGCGCGGCCTCGGCCGTACTTCGTTCCGCTCCTGCAGCAGGTTCTTGGGTTTCTCCTCCAGTAGAGGGTCCACCGCCTGTCCCAGTCGCAGTCCCTACTAGAGCCTTCCTCTCCACTGCCTGCTCCCTCTCCTTACACTGGTCCTACTGGAGGTCTTGCTGAGCGTCGTGAGCCTGCGTCTCGTCCCGCGTCGCCTGTTCGTGCTGCTCGCGCTAGTGGTCGCAGTTCGCGTCAGCGTCCTCCTCCTGTCCCTGGCACGCACCGGATGTCTCTGCGTCCGTCCACTGCTCCTCTGCGTGCCCCTTGCCTTCTCCTCCTGAGTCCTCTCTTCCTGCGCTTGTCGACCCTGAGTCGGACTCTCTTCGCGCTGCCAGTCCTACTGTCACGCGTTCTGCTTGCTACTGTCGTCACTGACCCCTCTTTTGAGTCCACTGCTGCGTCTGCTCTAGTCGCTGAGCTCGTTGACTTTGCTGCTCGCTGTCGTCTCGACTACGCTGCTGGTCTTGTTGCTGAGTCTGCGTCTGTCTGTCCTCCGTCCGTCGGGGGTGAGTGTGCTCTTGGCACGGACGTCCTAGAGGACAGGCCAGGAGGAGTTACAGTGTCTAGCGGCTGCTTCACCTCATCTCGCGTCTGTACTGCTTGCCCCTGAGGGAGACCCGGATGCACTAGACATCCCGACTCCGCGTTCTTACGCGGAGGCGTTAGAGGGTCCCTACTCCTCTCAGTGGCAGGCAGCTATGGATGCAGAGATGGCTTCCTGGAAGTCCACAGGACCTACGTTGACGCGGTTCCCCTCCTGGGGCGAACATCGTCAGTGGCATGTGGATCTTCAGGGTGAAGCGGCCGCCGGGCTCTCCACCTGTCTTCAAGGCACGGTACGTTGCTCGTGGCTTCAGTCAGCGGCAGGGAGTTGACTACTTTCAGACCTTCTCTCCCACCCCGAAGATGACTACTCTTCGGGTGCTGCTGCACATAGCCGCTCAGCGCGACTACGAGCTTCACTCTCTCGACTTCAGCACTGCGTTCTTGCAGGGTAGCCTGCACGAGGAGATCTGGCTTCGCCGTCCACCTGGCTTCACTGGGACTTTCCCTCCTGGCACCCAGTGGAGCCTCCGACGGCCAGTCTACGGTCTCCGCCAGGCACCGCCGTGAGTGGCACGACACACTGAGGACTACGCTTGCGGCTCTTGGGTTTGCTCCTTCTACTCATGCGACCCGTCGCGTTTCTTCGCACCGACACTTCCCTGCCGCGTTCTATCATCCTCGTGTACGTCGACGACTTGGTCTTTGCCACAGCGGACACTGCTGGACTCGCCTACGTGAAGTCCGAGCTGCTGAAGAGACACACGTGCACAGACCTGGGTGAACTGCGCAGCTACCTTGGCTTGCAGATCACTCGGGACAGAGCACGCCGCACCATTACCTTGACTCAGTCACACATGGTGCAGCAGGTCCTTCAGCGCTTCGGCTTCACGTACTCCTCGCCTCAGGCCACTCCTCTGCCTACTCGCACTCACTCTCAGCTCTGCCTTCGGATGAGTCCGTAGAGTCGAGTGGTCCGTATGCAGAGCTTGTTGGCTGCCTCATGTACCTGATGACCTGCACACGACCTGACCTTGCATACCCTCTGAACATTCTTGCACGCTATGTTGCTCCTGGGAGACACAGACCGGAGCACATGGCTGCAGCGAAGAGGGTATTGCGCTACCTGTGCAGTACGTCGGGCATGGGGCTAGTGCTTGGAGGGCGGAGTCCAGTGGTCCTTACCGGCCACTGCGGACGCTTCTTGGCTGACGACCAGGCTACGCAGCGGTCGTCACAGGGTTACACCTTCAGCCTTGGTTCCGGCTCTGTCTCGTGGCGGTCTACTCGCTCGTCTTTCGGTCTCGGCTCCAGCTGTGAGGCTGAGATCTACGCCGGGGCCATGGCTGCACAGAGCTTCGCTGGCTCACCTACCTGCTGACTGACCTTGGAGAGCCGCCTCGTTCTCCTCCAGTGCTGTACGTAGACAACAAGGCCATGCTGGCCTTGTGTCGAGAGCAGCGCTTGGAGCACAGAACGAAGCACATTGCTCTCCGCTACTTCCTTGCTCGTGAGCTGCAGCAGCGTGGTCAGTTGCGACTTGCGTACGTGCCTCTGAGGCCAACACTGCTGATGTGTTCACCAAGGCACTCGCGCCTTGTGACCATCAGCGCTTTTGCACCCAGCTGGGTCTTGTGCCTGTCTTGCCTCACTTGCTCTCCTCTTGACTTCACTTGTACTGTGACATATATATATGCCTGCTCTTGTTTGTCTAGTTTTATATATATGTCTGTACTCTTGCATGTGAACTGGCCTCTGGCCCTACTCTTGCGCTCGGACTGTGTGGTGACTTTGTGATCCACCCTGAGCTTGCTTTGTTTTGCTGACTGGTCTTGTGACCCCTTGTTCTCCCCACTTTGCCTATGGGGTGTGTCAGATTTATATGACATAGTTGCTGTAGGCTATAGTGGGGTAGCACATATGGGGTACAGGGTTTCTAGGGTTGTATTTGTACCCAATCTTTCCTTAGTCATCTCATTCCTGCTAACTCATTTCACAGTTCATCGTGGTCACTTTCCTCCTTTGGCTCTGGTGCCTTCTGCTTCCCCTTCCGATCCACAGGTTTCGCTGGCGCAACTGATTTTGCAGGCTAGCGCGTTTTCTGCTTGCGCCAGATGTCCACCACGTCTGGCCAGACGTAGGGGTACTTCAGCATGTGCAGCGTCATCAGGTCGCCAAGGCGTGCATCGCACAGCGATGTACGCATCCAGCTCTTGATGATATTGTGGCGACTGAACCGTCTCTCACACTCCACTATGCTCAGCGGCAGCACAGCGAGGGCCTGCCAGAGTGTCATTAGGTTCGGATAGCTGCGTCGCCAATCCCGGCTCTTCAACATGCTGTGAAGACCCTGGTGAAAATTTTCTCCGCGTGATGGCGTGGCATGATGTGACAAAAGCTCCTCAGCTCCTTCTTGGCGGCCTTAAAATCGAATCCTGACGGAGAAGGGGTTTGGGCAGTGGAAGTAGTTAGCGGTGGTTGTCCGATGTTGGGTGACATGCATGAGACAATATGTATCAAAGGAAATGAAAAATCACAGCTCACCTGGTAGCATGCCGCCAAACAGCTCGTCGTTTGCGGCCAGCCACTCGAGGGTCTTCAATTCGCGCTGGTCATCTCTGCTCGGCCACGATTCAACTTGAAACAGCTTCACGCCGACCAACTGCTACAAGTCCCACATGCGGTACTTCATGCGTGCGACAATTCCTTCGCGAACCCTGTGCAGAGCTTCTCGCAGTCAGCAAGCGTGCCCCCAAACTTGTGCTTCTTGATTGGGGTCTCGCTCAGCTCGAACCTGTGTGATGTCTGCCGCCCCTCCGAGTCAATGCCTTCAACCACCACCGTCTAGTTGTCACCACCTTGCTGCTTAATGAACTTGGACAGGTGCTTGGTGGCCTCGCCGCCAAAGGTGTCGCTGTACTGGATGTAACGGTGAATGATGATGGTGATCGTGTGGTCGACTTCTTTGGCCACAAGTGTGATATCCACCTGGAACACAACGGGCACGTGAAACATGTTAGTCGAGGAAACTTTTAGTGTTACCACACTTGCAACCTGAAAAAGTTGGCCACAAGTGTAATGTCCACCTGGAACTTGCCTTGCGGTGCTGGAAGAAGCGGTTGAGAGAGTTGAGCACAGCAAGAATGTCTGCGAGGAAGTACAAACAGAAGTGAAATTTGAAGGTCTGTACTGTTGCAGCAATTTTGTGGCGGTACTCAACAATCATGACGATCGCCGCCCCAAGTACTCTGCATAGCCTCGCTATAGCATCTCCACGTGATAGCCAACGGACGTTGAACAGTCCCTGGTGTTCGAGATTTGTCTTGTGTATCTCTTGTTGCAGCTCCTTGAATCTGTCGTACCAAATGTTGGAACGGCAGATAATCTCTCCACGGCTCGCACAGCAGCGTCGATCATGTTCAGGTCGGGGAAAGCCTTCGCAACATCCTTGACCACGAGGGCTTCCCTGCAACACGTCCAAGTGGTAGTTTAGTAAAGCTAAACGAGAACGGTTTTACAACATCGCATGCGATTATGTCGAAAACGCTTAAGCGAAGCTCACCGATGCGCGACGCAGTGACATCCGACGAGATGCGGCACATGCTCTTGCAAACGGCTGACCAGGCCGTTCTTCTCCCCCGTCATCACAGAAGCTCCGTCGGTGCCGATGTCGGAAACCCGCTTGATGTCCACCCCAACAGACTCCAGGTGGCTTGTGAGCATAGTGAAAAGCGAGGAAGCGTCGCACTTGTGCACCGTCAGCAGTGCCAGAAATTCCGTGACGGACTCGCCGTTTTTTAGGAAGGTGGCAAACACGATCAAATGTTTGCCGCGAGCGCGATCGGTGCTCTCGTCGCAAGTAAGGCCGATGAATGGTGAAGCGAGAAGATGCTGCAGCTGCTGTGTTTTCTGGTACTTAGCCATCGCCGAGGCCATTTCGTTGAATCCGTACCTGCCACAAGCCGTGTGAAAGGGCTTAGACACAGATGGAATGCGAAACCATTGGTTGCGGCCTGGTATTTTGGCACACGCTTACTGTGTGATGTACACGCCGTAGGACTGAAGCGGGATGTCATCGACTCCCTCCTCCGCGAGGAAGCCTATGAGCTTCGGAAACATCGCGATCGGTGCGTCGTGGTCGCAGATAAACTCCACGCCGCGCATGAGGACGGGTCAGCCGCGCCCCCTCCTTGTCGGTATTGGCAAAGTCGTCGATCCTCTTCTGTTGCTCGATCTCCGCCATGAGCGTCCGCTGCCGCTTCATCGCTTCCTCATGGCGGCCGCTCAGCTCGTGGCATCGCATTGATCCGAGCTGCAGATCACGCCCCCCCGTTCCGTTCCGTCCAATTTCGCATCGTCCTTTCCATGCTCCACGCAGATGCTGCATCGCAGAATGGGCAGCCCGTCGTTGTTCTTGTCCAGCAGCAGCCAGCCAAATTTCGACAGCCACTGCGTGATGTATAGCTGCTGCGCCTTCAAAAATCTCTCTTCAGCCTTCTCGGCGTCGGTGAGTTCACGGGAGATACGCTTCGGAGCTTGGACTGGAGCGCGCGCGGCGGAGTCGGTTTCGCTGGTGGCGTGCCGAACGGTAGAACGGCCTGCGCGTAGCGATGCCTCTTCTTCGAGGCTGCAGACGATGACTCGCCCACCTCTGACACGCTGACAGTGGCGGGAGCACTGTCCGGCGCGACGGCATTGGAAGCAGGCGGGGGTGACAAACTCTGTTTCCCTTTGCTGCAAGAAGACGGGCCTGGAGTGACCACAGGCGGAGGGTTCGCATGCACCGCGCGCAGGAAATCCAGGCCTGTTCGTGCGTGCGCATCCTTCGATGGCTCGTCAAGCAGCTTCACCGTCGCCGTCCTCTGCAGGAGCCATGGCTGCTAAAGAACAACAGGAGAACCGCCAATGTTGCTCTACTTGGCGTGAGTGCTGTGTTCTTGCGAGGTGAAACCTCGCACGTGTTCATTACCCCAGTCATTTCGCGCCTTTGTTTCCTAACGTGCACGCAAACAAGCAGCGGAGCCTGCCTTAGTCGTGCAAGGAACGCGGTGCCCAGTGAGCTAGTGGGCACCGAATTGTTGCTGCAGTCAGCCAAGTTTCCAGCCAATCCAGCCTTGTTGTCAAGTCTGACAAACAGACCAACTGGCGGAGGTGGCGGTGCCAGCAAAGAAACTGTAACCCTGGCCAATAGTGGCCCACTGTGTGCCAGTACAGGAATTGTCAAGGCCAAAATTCGGCCTCAGTGGCCTCGGTGGAATCCCAGGTTACGGGAAAGGGGGGGTGGGTGAATAGGGGGGAGGGGGGGGGGGGTAGGTTACGCGTTATAGGGTAAAACTCAATACGGGATCCGTAAACCCTTGGCCATGAGTGTGCCTTAAAAAAAAACCTGACATATCAGGGTAAATCAACCTCCCCAAAAAAAACCCTAGGCCATCAGTGTGACCATAAAAAACCACCCTGATTATCAGGGTATCAGGGTGATTTACACTGATAAAGTTTGCCCTGGCGTATATACCTCTCCTCTTTTCCAATCACTGAGATAGATATTGATGATTCACTACAAGGGTCTGATCTGAATGCTTCTCGTCTTACCGAGCCGTATTCTAGAGGGTTACAGAAACGGTACGAAGTGGACCCAGCAGCACCAGTATGAGGCACAGCAGCCTGACCTGAAACAGCCGTGTGACTGATATGCTCATTCTATAACTAGGAAACGTGTCGCGCACCGACAACGCAAGGCCAAAAGGTAAACATTTACGGTCGCCGTTTTAGGCGCCGCTATCCAGAGCCCACACACAGCGCACGCGCGGATCGCCGATTCTAGTAACAGCAGCGCGAACCTTCGCCCTCTTTTATCGGCAGCGCGAAGAGGCAGCGGCACTCGAGCCCTCGTCGGTTGGTGATGGGGCGACTCGAGTATGCAGCCGACGAGGAAGATCGCGATCAAGCGGCTCGAAGAGAGAGTAACGACGAGGACGAGGAGCCAAGGGCGCCGGAGGAGGGGGCGGAGGAAAATAGGGGTTCAGGGGATGAGGAGAGCGATGACGAGTTGGGCATGAACGGCCGGCTGCGATTGAATTCGGTGCTGTTATGGGAGAAATGGCGGGGAGAAGACGATAACGAGGATGACGACAACGATTCGGACGATGCGCCCGAGGAGTTCACTCTGTCGCAGGTGCCCGCCACCATCGCCGTCTCTCTGCCGCCCGCCGCTGCTTTCCGTCTTTTCCTCTCTTCGCGCCACTGCTTCTGAACTGATTTGCGCATCACTGCGTAAAATTCCCAAACCCGAAACCTTCGCTGTGCCGCTCCTCACTCCCCCCCCCTACCAGGGACGCGAGCGGGTGTCGCAGCAGCGCCAACAGGAGCGGAAGCCCGCCGCATGTGAGTGCACGCCGCATTGGGGGGTGACGTGGCATGCCCCCACTGGTTGCTTGCAACTGCATCTTCCCTTCGAGCTCTTCCCCTCCGCCGCTGTGACCCGCTCTATTGCGTCGCTCATTCCGATCCTCTACACGCCGCCCCACCGCGCAGGGTCGCCAAGGCTGACAGAAAGGTTCGGCAAAAGCGAGCAGGCTTGGTAGCGAAGGGAGAGGAGGGGGAGGGAGAGGAAGAGGGAGAGGCGAGGAGCGGCGGGCAAGGAGGCGGAGAGGAAGGCGAAGCGCAGGCGCGAGCTGGAGGGACGCGCGGAGAGGCGCACGCGGCGAAAGGGCGCGGTGGAGGGGGGAGACGAGGCGGCGGGGTCGCTGGTACCGCAGAGGCGAGGGGCGGTGCTCGGGAGGAGGGGACGGTGGGGGGTGCGGGTGCGGGCGAGGAGGAGGGGGAGGGCGCGGTGGAGGGGGGCGCGGTGGAAGGGGGCGCGGTGGAGGGGGGCGACTTTCTTCCCGCGGACGTGATTGCTGCCGTCACACGGCGCCAGCACACCAGGTGCGCGCACAGCGTAGGGATGCTTGGGGGAAGAATCAGAATGTAGTGAGTTGAACTGTTTTGGGTTGGTTGAGAGCTGAGATGAATCCCAGTCGTTTGTGCTAGTGCCCACCCCATTCTGCCTTTTCCCGCCTTCCTGTCCCCACCCAAACCCTTTCCCCAACCGCAGGTTCACAGAAGCGCAGGAGGAGAGGTCACGGTCAGCCGTGAGGGGAGAAGAAGCAGCGAGCGGGGCGGGGCGGCAGCAGGGCAAGGACAGCCACACATCAGCTGTCATCGGCACACGGTGGGTGCTGCGGCATGCGGTGGGTGCTGCGGCATGTGGGTGGGTGCTGCGGCATGCGGGTGGGTGCTGCGGCATGCGGGTGGGTGCTGCGGCATGCGGTGGGTGCTGCGGCAGGGTAGCAGTGCCATGGCCAGAGTGGTAAGCTCGTGTACTTGTCCTCACAGCACTCTTCCATATCCCATGCCCACAGTCCTGACCCGCCCCTTTTCGCGTCGTCTCAGCTGCTGAGCTTGCTCTCCCACCTCCATGCCAATCACTGCTCTCTTCTTCCCAAAGTCCCAGTCAGCATTCTGCCCCCACCCTGCGCCCTCACCATACCTCGGGGACTGCCCTCACGACACCACTGCACTGGTTCAAGCAAAGGCACCCGCTGCATTGTTCCAACCCCTCGCTCTTCCTCACATCACATCAACCTACTCCCCCGTGTCGTGTCGTGGCTACCACGCAGGTCGGACGGGGCCATAGTCATCCAGGCAGGGCGCGCCGGCGCCGGAGGGCGAGGAGGCAGCGCGGGCCATCATGCGCGCCGCACAGAGCTTTCGGCACGGGGTGCTGTTTGGGCGGCGGCAGCGATCACTTGCAGCGCTGGGGTTTGTGGACCCCACGGTGCTCAAGGTGGCGGGGCAGTGGCGCGCCCACAAGCATCTTGTGGCGGGAGGTGTTGGGGGAGCGGGCGTGCAGGGGGGTGTGGGGGCGCGGAAGGGAGGCGGCAAGCGCAACGGGAGGGGCCGTGGTGGCGCTAGGCGGTTGATGGGGTTTGTGGACCCAGGGCGCTCACGGTGGCAGGGCAGTGGCGCGCCCACAAACACCTTGTGGCGGGGGGTGTGGGGGGAGCGGGCGATTACGGGGGTGTGGGGGGCGCGGAAGGGAGGCGGCAAAAAGAACGGGAGGGGGCGTGGTGGTGGGCAGAGTGGGCTGCGATGAGGGGATGAGGGGTTGAGGCTATGAGGGGACGAGGGGATGAGGGGGTGCGGGTGCAGTGTGGGTGGTAGATGGAGGGAGGCCAAGGGGGCAGAGGCAAAGCAGTGAGAGAGAGGAGGCGTGGTGGTGGTGCGGAGTGATGATGGAGTTGGATTGAGAGTAGCCCAGGCAGATCTCCTCTGTAGCTACCGTCCCCGTGCTCTTGACAAGCCTCCGTGTGCACACTGAGAAAACATGGTGGTACCGTATTCTCCCGGACAAAACACCCCCCCGTAATTGTACACCTCGTGCGGGGTGGGTGTTATGATAGACCTCGTTTCTACTATACCCCCCTTTTTGGCTGATTTTCTATAACACCCCCCTTTTCTTACGAATTCGTTATTATAGTCGTTAACGAGTAGCTGCAATACGGAAGAATATCGCAAAAAAATCTCCCTAGATTAAATTTCGTGGTACATTCACTTACAATCTACCGAGATTTCCCCCCTCCCACTACTTCGCTATCGCCACGTGCAGGCCAATCTTCCGCTGCAAGTGGCAAGAGAGGTGCCACATGGCATTTCGGTGGGGGTGATGAAGTTCGTGGCCGAAACTCACATTCGCGTCTCAGACAGTGATGTTAAAATGAAAATCAAACACCCACATTGTCTAATTAAATAAACACTAACACTAAAATATACCATATCTAAAGACCCGGGTATTATGTATTTTTTTTCCTATGAGGAGACCCCCTTCGTTTTTTCCCTGTATTTTTAGCTATACCCTAGGGTGTTATGTCCAGGAGAATACGGTAGGCTGGATAAGGCCGGAGGGGCAGATGCATGTGTGCGTATTGATTTGCATTAAAAGAGCAGTGTTTGAGAATTACTAAGAATCTTTCATATGGCTTCTGGCATTCAATACGTTTCGTCCGACATTTGAAAACACTGCACTCCTAGCATGCTTTGCATTTGTCAGCCACAAATGGATTAGGGTAGCGGTAGCTACAATCATGAATAAATCAACGCAGGAGTTGCTAGTAAAGAAGGGAGGAGTAACCCATAGGAGAGCAGCTGCTGGTGTCCATGCTGCCAAACCAAAACCACCCCCAGTAGTAAGGAAGGCGGCACGACCAGGGCCGAAAATGGGTTTAGGCTTACCCTTACAAATCAGAGCTCCAGTAGTGCCCAACTCTGAGTCATAGGGTGAAATTTCTCGTACTCTGATGGGTTCTGGCTAAAACAAAACCCACTCTGATTTACGGTAGTCAGTGCAACCAAGGACCCAACACTGATTGTTACTGCAAAATCCCGCACATAAAAATGTGAGGTTGTGTTTGCACTAAGAATGTCGATACATCTCATCATTGTCACAAAGAAATAACTACATCTACTCTGTCATAGGCACACTCCCCTCTACAGCCTCTTCTGCAAACAAGGTTCTGCTCTTGTTGCTTCCGCTGAAGTCTTTTGTAGACCGGCGCAATTTCTTCCCCCTGAAGATAGCCACCACCTCAACCAGTCCACCTCATACTGCACCAGGAAACAGCGCATGAGGTGCTCCAGGCTGGGGTCCGAGAGGCACCCTCTTTCCTACGTCTTGATAAGGTTCTGCTTGCTGAACCCGCGTTCACATTCCACCATGCTCAACTACAGAATGGCGACGGCTTGCCACAACTTCATAATGTTGGGAAATGACTATTGCCAGCCGTCGTCACGCATCATGTTCGAAAGCGCCTGGTGGAAATCCTCCCCGTTGTGCTGGCTGAACAATATGGATGTGAACATCCATAGTTCGTTGCTCGCCTTCTTGTAGTCGAAGCCTGATGTACGGGGTGGGGGTTAAACTGGGCTAAAGTCGCAGACACCGGGTGGAAGGGGGGCGCATTAGTCAAATAGAAGAAGACGAAGACAAGCAGCGGATGGTGCGACAGATTCAAACAACACGCATGATCAAAACGGACAGCGAGTCAACACAACACCGTTCACCTGGCAAGCTTCTCGTGGTAGAGTTTGTGCAGTTTGCCCAGCCAGCGCTTGAACGCCTCTATGCGCTTGGCGTCGTCCATGAGGTAAGAGGGGGTGCGGAATAGCTTTGACCCCTCCAAGTTGGCGAGATCACGCATCCGCCACCCCAGTTCCTTGTCAATCGCGCAGACAAACTTCAACGATAGCTCATAGCAGGTTGTCACGTCGCGGTCGGTTTCCTGCCCTTTCAACGGCCGCTCGTGCAGAATGAATGAGAACAAAACCGGATTTCCCTCGGAGTCAACGCCTTCAGCTTTTATCTCGCGCTTGTCCTGCTTCTGGTGCTTCAAGAAGAAATCAGGAAGAGTCATGTACCCTCCGCTTCCAAACACGTGACCAGGGGCCGAGCTCAGGTACCGCGCCTTCAGCCGCATACGCGTCTGCTCCACGATGTGCGCTACAAGCGTGACGTCGATCCGCATCAACAAGAAGGAAGTGACGGTGGGATGTAAGGGGCGGTGCACTTGTTCATATCTCTTGTCTCTGTACTGACGCTACAAGCGTGACGTTGAGCTTAAGTACTGACCTGTCTCAGTTGGAGCTGATTCAAGTGGTTCAAATCCCACAGGGTATCATCAAGAAAGCGTAGTAGCAAATGAAACTTGAAAGAGGTTACAACCTCGTTCAAGTCAGGATTGTACTCCTTGAACACGACGATGGCGATCGGCAAAACCTCGAGGAGCCGGGCGGTGTGTATTCCCTACGCCTCCAGATTCGTCTTGCAGAACACTTGTTGCCGGTTTTGAAACTTCTGGTACTGCACGCTGCTCCTCCCTAGTAGCTCCGAAAAAACACGGACGGCATTGTCGACCATGTTCAGCTCAGGGACAGATTTGTTAGAGACTAAGGACGGAGTCTATGAAGATTAGGAGCCGAAATATCTCAAAATCGTTGGGCCTAGTTTCTGGACAGAAAATCGAGTTCACAAGAAACGTCGTCGACAAAAGGTTCACAGTCAAAACTTCACCAAACTCAGACATCATGTAGCTCTACTCCGTGGCTATAGTTCCCAAGTTGAATCGTACAAAACGGTGAAGTATTTCTTGAGTTATCAATTTCGGCGCACTAGGGGGTAAGTTGCCATAGAATCTTAACTCAATCACAATTATCTCACATGATTACCACACAAGGAAGTTAGAGTAGCAATAAACCAGGTAGGAGGGGATGAGGAGGACAAGAGGGAAGGTCCCAAGAGAGTCCCCAACCAAGGAAACTCCATAAGCACACCAAATCCCTTCCCTATAGAAACCCCACTTTTACTTTTGTCACTTTCCAACCCATGCCATCCACCTTTCCCAACTTGGCCACACTTGCCAACCTGGTTTGGTACCTCCCAACCACTTGGCAGCATCTACAGTGATGTTGACGAATTTCCCAACCCCCAATAGTCTATACCCCTTATGGAGTCAACCCCACAACTTCCCATAGTCACCACAACCAAATATCAAAAGCATACGAACTTCCAACGTTAGTAACTTTCTTGTTCGTGCTCCGATTGAAACGATACTTGGTTCGTCGGAAAGCTCTTGAGTAGATGAGTCACTTCAGGTATCTGCTCAAGCCAAAAAGCAGTCACACATGTCAAAATTAGAAGAAAGAAAGAGGATTGAACTAGCAAGAATGAGGATACAAATAGCAAACCCTAGAAGGGTTGTACTCGCTATAGAGCACCACACTACAGGCTAGAACAATAAGATAATATTCTGACACACCCCCATAGCCAAAGTGGGGTGTAATCAGCAGAGCAGGCAAAACAGTACAAGCTCAGGGTGGATCACAATGTCACCACGCATTCTGAGCACAAGGTCAAGAAGAAATAGTTTAGAGTTCACAATTATAAGCAAAGCTAGTGGTAGTCACAACGGGCAAGTGAGGAGGAGGAGGGAGTGTGAGGGGAGAGGAGACAGGAGGCGACGGCTGAAGCTGCAGACACACGGCAACAGGAGGCAGACTGGCACAGCGGCTACCGGACAGCGCCCGGACTACAGGAGTAACAGGCCCCGCGGCTCAAATAGCGGCGGACGGGCAACGGACCCACGGGCGGCTGGCACAGCTGGCTACGACTGGGCTACCGGGACAGCGCCCCGGACTACAGGTGCTGCTGACGACAAACTGGCAACCTCCGCTCATCCTCCCGCACATAGTCCCACCCCCCTGATACACACCCACTGCTACACCACTAGCTCTACTCCCACGCACCCCCCTTAAACCCTAAACCCAGTCTCCCACACAACCACCCCCCTCAGCGATAGCTGCAGCAGTGGGAGACGAAGGAGGAGGAGGAGAAAGGGAGGAAGGCACACCGACCACCCCCATACCCGCCACCCCACAGCTCGCCGCGGCCCCCGAAGGAGCCGCGACGGGCGACGGGAAATGGCAAGGGGGGGGGAGGCGGTGTGGTGAAAGGGGCCCACCACGAGCCTGGTTGGAGGGCGGGGCCGCGACAAGGGGCGGGGGCCGCGACGAGCGGGGCGGGGCCGCGACGTAGGGCGGGGCCGCTTCGAGGGGCGGGGCCGCGACATAGGGCGGGGCCGCGACGTAGGGCGGGGCCGCGACAAGGGGCGGGGCCGCGACGGTCGGGGCGGGGCCGCGACGTAGGGCGGGGCCGCTTCGAGGGGCGGGGGCCGTGACGAAGGGCGGGGCCGAGCAGGTAGGGCGGGGCCGAGCCGGGCAGGCGCACGGGCGGCGACGGGTCGGGGCGGGTCCGCGACGAAGGGCGGGGCCGAGCCGGGCAGGCGCACGGGCGGCGACGGGCCGGGGCGGGGCCGCGACTTAGAGGCGGGGCCGCGTCGAGCGGGCGCACGGGCGGCGACGGGCCGGGGCGGGGCCGCGACGTAGAGGAGAAGCCCGCCGCGCGCCACGGGGCGCACAGCGGGCAATGAACCGCCGCGCGCCTCGGGGCGCACGGCGGGAGGAAAAAGTAGCAGCGGAAGCAAGGTGGGGACACACCCACAGGATCGATCCAAGGGGATCGACCTGCTCTGATAGCATGTCAAA